TTTCAGTTCATTTCGACAAAAGATAATGCTATGTGTTACATATCTATTTTTCTCATTCTTGCAGTCATTTTTTGATATCCAAGAATTTCTGAGTGATTGATATTATTGATTCTACACAATTTTTATTTATTTAGAATAAGATCCAACTAACTTTCTTGGTCTATCAACTATTGTTTGCATTACATTAGAAAAAAAAACAGATATAAATGATTTTATTTTTTGATTACAAGGATTCATTGCTTAATCATAGGTCATTCAAGAGCAGAATATGTTTTCATCATAATAAGTACTAACAATAACATTATCGGAGTTATGCTTCTGACTCAAGAATTTAATTTCTTGTAAACAAAAAGAAAATAGCATTATAATGATTATTTTTCATCGTGAAAGTTGTGGTGAAGCAGTCGAAAAAATCAAGTAGATAAAGATATATGACACGTATATGTCGAGGAGTACTAACACATTTTTGTATTGATTGAGGAAAAGATTTTACGTATGATATGATTTATTTGCATTATTTTATTATTATTATTTATGTTATCTTTTATATAAATTATATAGTACCAACAAATATGAATAAAAGCGAAAAGAAATAAAATCAATGATTTGAAATATACCACGGAAACGTACAAATTTATTGTGGGTTTTTCTTCGTTTTTTTGAATTATTTATTAAATCTCTATCATTCAAGCATTTTGCTTCTTTAGCTGGATATCTAGTCTCTACTGTAAATGACAATCATTTACCAAAAGCATATATATCAGTGCCTATAGATAAATGAACTCTAATTCAAACAGATTTCAACCGTTTTTTCTGAAATTTCTTTTGGAGAATTTTTCCTAGTCTAGAAGATTTTTCCATAAATTAGAGATCAATAGCTATTGCTGAATAGAAGTCTGAAACAAATATTTACATCAGAAAAGTTTTGACTGGCTATCTATGATTTCATCAATTGAAAGTTAAATTTTGATTGATAAATGCACTAATAAGTGTCTAATTTCTAGTATAGAAATGTTACTTGAATTCTTTGAGATCCCGACGTATAGCAAGCCTTAAACTATTGGCATCAAGTTTGTCCGATAACTGCTGCTCAAAATGATAATAATCAAGCAGTACTATCGAATTCTCATTTTGAATGGTATGATGGAATTAAACTTGCATTAAGTAAAACAACTGATCAAACAGTTACTTTAGATACTTCAAAGAGAAAACAGTTATGTGAAAAAAAATCGAAAGCAATTTAGTCTTTATCATATCTTTATTTTTTATTTTTTCAAACGATATAACAAATTGGAAAAGAAAATTCAACGTGCACTATTTGTTCAACATATTGAAGATAATACCTATTGATTGTCTTAATGAATAGATTTTTTGGGTTAAAAAAAACTTCGTTGTTATACTTGAAATTTCTCAAAAATTTAGATGTTCTAGTAATTATTTGAGTTTTTTTTAGATAAATAAATAAATGAAACCAAATGGTAATATCTCTTAATTAAGACTTATCTTTTTCGAATGAATCGACATTTAAACGTTGACTATAAGATTAACTATTTTTTGGTACTTCAAAATGTTAAAAAACCTAATATGAATACCTGGTTTAAACAAGTGTGTGTGTATATGTATAGTTAACTTACTGCTTTCAATGTTTAAATCGAACAGTTGTTTCTTTTACATCATTCAAAATTTGTTGAATTAATTTTTTACAGAAGAATGTAGAAAATCAATTTATTTTGCATAAAACATTTATAATTGACTAGATGGTATTCGAGTTTCACTTGACTGTAAAATCTGGTTCAAAGCTGTCAATGTCGATTCATGGATTAATCATTTTCAGACATGGTAGTGAAAAGGTGTGAATGAGGATATGAAGAGAAAACCTATGCGTACAATACTCTAAACATAAAATTCGAATTCATCATCACTTCTCTTGGTTTTTAACTTCATTTCAATCGATTTAACATCGATATCTATTCATATAACTATTTTCAATTTTTGCTCTTAAGATATAATAAGAACATCTAAACCTTAATGTGTTACTCTTTTTCTTGTTAAGTTGAGTGATAATTATAAATTATTGATAAATAAAAAGTTACTTTTTTTTAATAAAATGTTTTCATATCCATAGCAGAGATACACGATAGAGATGTATAGAATGACGATCATCACGACGATTAATATCCATATTATTTGAAAGTTTCAAAAAGCATCTATAAATCAGCGGTATAAAATTTGCTCTCACTACGGGTAATATCTGAGCACGTAATTCTCTACCAAATGAGGCGTTTCTAAGCTCTCTACGACGATTCTTGGGCAAACCATATCAACTTTAAAGAAAACCTACAGCAACATTTTTTTGTCAAGTCTTTACTTTCCCAATGATCACTAGCGTGAATAAATACCGTAACAAAAATTAGAGTATAGCGAATTGTTTCCTTATTGAACAGATATTCGGTGTTTTTAGTAATTTATCAATATAACTTGAATGTTTGAAATTATGTATTTATTTTCATATTTTATCGACAAATTTTTATGTAGAAAAAATAGAGAATATACGATAAAGTTAAACCTATGAGATTTGTTTATACTTTATGTGTGAATTTCATTTGATATTCTTTGAGTGAAATCAATAAAGAATCTTGATCAACTTGATATTAGTCTTACAACATCTGGAAATCAATATAACATAACAGAAGAATTTTTTCGACAAAAATGAAAAATGGATTTACAAGTCGAATATGTTCAAATCTTAAATATATTGTATTGATTCTTACAAAATTTACATGTTTGATTCTTTTTTTTTCATAATAGAATAAAATGAAACAATTTTATTTTATCTTGTAGTAAATCATTTAACAGATTGTAGTAAACTCAATATAATTTTGTTACTATCTGTTGAAAGCTCTAGTATTGTAGAAATTAAATTAATTTTAATATAATTTACTAGATGATTTAGTAATAAAATAAAATAAAATAAAATAATTTCGTTCTATTCGATTATTATATAAAAGTCTTATGAATATATTATTTCTATTCTTTTTTTTTCATTTTAATTTTCTTATTTGTCCTTGTTTAGACACGAAAAACTAGAATCATCTAGTTCATCAATGATTCTTTTTTTTTCTTACTTTTGATTGAATACGAACAAATTGTTTAAATGTTGTAGATCAATTTTTATTCAATGTAGAATATTTTAAATAAAAAAATGTTTTTCAATAATGATGACATTGTATTATGTTGTATTTTGAAATAGTAATTTGTCAATCATGTATTTGAGTGCTGGTCTATAGTGTAAAGGGAATAAGTACATATATGATGAATTGATCGTCGACGAAAACAAAGATGACAATGATCATTTCATCAATTATTGAGTTCATGAGAATGAATTGTTTTCTTTTCGATTTCGATCATCAATCTTTTAATTGGTGGAGAGAAAAAATAACACTGTAACGTCATTGACTAAAAGTTCATGTCTCAAACATATATAAGGAATGATTTTCTTGTACGAAATCATTCTATTGAAACATAATTATGATAATGAAATTTATACAATCATACGGTACCGTATCATTATTTACAATGTTCCAAATTTGAATGCCAACATGTATTATTAACTGACGTAATGTTTTATGTATTTCAATTTCAAATCGGGTATGTTGCTTATTTTTTTTATTCTTGAGAAGGAGAACAGAGAGATAAGACAGTTACTAACTAAATTTAGTCTTTTTTTTTGCTTATTGAGATGCGAATAAATATAAATAAATTGAAAAGTTCTAATGGCCCATAGAACTTTTCAAGTTATTTTTTTGATAAGGTAGACATGTAATCTATTCCAGATCGAATATTTTTTTTCTTTGTTGTAGTAGTAGAGTGAGGTATTAACTTATATCACAGCCCGTCAGATGGCTTCGTAATCTGACCCAGGGAGATCTCTTGTGCCTATGTTGGCGAAAGCAGTGTAGTTCTCTGGAAGGCCGTCTGTTCGTAGGTCCCTGTCGCCCATTCCGTACGTCACACCTACGTTCATTACCTTACCAGTTCGGCGTGGCCCACTCTGCGTGTACCCATTTCGGGCTTACAGGGGATCTCCCCGGTCGCGCGCGCGTGTACGCGAAAATGAGCCGAGAAAATTCGGGAAGTGACGTGAATAGCAATCAAAATCAATTTACTCAGCAAGCGAGAAGAAAAACAAACACATCTTCACATAGTCAATATTATTCATCGCCGTTTTAATATTAGGATGTGTTGGTGGAAGTGATTCTTTGAAGATGGCAAGTGCCTTTTCTAGATATGAAAGTGCTTTTGGGTAGTCACCTTGTCCGGAATAATCCACACCGATGCTGTTGTAGGAATTAGCCAAGTCGGGATGATTCGAAGGCAGAGATTTTTCTCTTATTTTAAGTGATTTGTCGTGAAATTCAAGTGCTTTCGAGTAGGTACCCATGTTTCTATACACTTCACCGATGTTGTTGTAGGAAGTAGCCAAATCGGGATGATTCGGAGGCAGAGATTTTTCAAGTATTTTATGTGCTTTATCGAAAACTTCAAGTGCTTTCGAGTAGTTACCCATGTTGCCATACACTCCAGCGATGCTGCTGTAGGAAGTAGCCAAATCGGGATGATTGGATGGCAGAGATTTTTCTCTTATTCTAAGTGATTTGTCGTAAAATTCAAGTGCTTTCGAGTAGTTACCCATGTTCCTATACACTCCACCGATATTGTTGTAGGTAGTAGCCAAATTCGGATGATTCGGAGGCAGAGATTTTTCTCTTATTTTAAGTGCTTTGTCGTAAAATTCAAGTGCTTTCGAGTAGTTACCCATGCTGTCATACGCTGCACCGATGTTGTTGTAGGAAGTAGCCAATGAGGGATGATTCGGAGGCAGACTTTTTTTCGTTATTTGAGAGTCCTTTTCGTAAAATTCAAGTGCTTTCGAGTAGTTACCCATTTTGTTATACGCAAGACCGATGTTGTTGTAGGAACTAGCCAAATGGGGATGATTCGAAGGCAGAGCTTTTTCGAGTATTTTAAGTGATTTGTCGTAAAATTCAAGTGCTTTCGAGTAGTTACCCATGTTGTTATACGCAAGACCGATGTTGTTGTAGGAAGTAGCCAAATCGGGATGACTCGGAGGCAGAGATTTTTCATAGATTTGATGTGCTTTGTCGTAAAATTCAAGTGCTTTCAAGTAGTTACCCATGTTTCTATACACTTCACCGATGTTGTTGTAGGAAGTAGCCAATGAGGGATGATTCGGAGGCAGAGATTTTTCTCTTGTTTTAAGTGATTTGTCGTAAAATTCAAGTGCTTTCGAGTAGTTACCCATGTTTCTATACACTTCACCGATGTTGTTGTAGGAAGTAGCCAAATCGGGATGACTCGGAGGCAGAGATTTTTCGTAGATTTTAAGTGCTTTGTGGTAAAATTCAAGTGCTTTCGAGTAGTTACCCATGTTTTTATACACTCCACCGATGTTGTTGTATGAAGTAGCCAATGAGGGATGATTCGGAGGCAGAGATTTTTCGTCGATTTTAAGTGCTTTTTCGTAAAATTCAAGTGCTTTCGAGTAGTTACCCATGTTGTTATATGCAAGACCGATGTTGTTGTAGGAAGTAGCCAAATTGGGATGATTCGGAGACAGAGCTTTTTCTCTTATTTTAAGTGATTTGTCGTAAAACTCAAGTGCTTTCGAGTAGTTACCCATGTTGTTATACGCAAGGCCGATGTTGTTGTAGGTAGTAGCCAATGAAGAGTGATCTTCCGGAAGAGTTTTTCGCCCGATTTCAAGTAATTTTTCATAAAATGAAACTGCTTCTTTGTATTGTCCTTGATTGTTTTTCAAGAGTCCAAGCATATGATATATATGTGCTCTGTCATCGTCGCTGGACGTTTTCTTGAGTAATTTGTTGTAAAGATCTTCAGCTTGATTGTAGTGACCCACTTGAAGCATTAGATGGCCCAATCGGTGCCATCCTGTGGATCCACAGAGTTCCCCTTTTATGCGTTCAGTAAGAGTAGCCAATTGTGGATCATTGTCGCCTGTGAGAGTCAATTGAACTTCCCATAGACGACTGTTGCCGACTGCCTGTTTGATATCATCGACACGAAAAACACTGTGCATTGAGAATAGAATTTCTTTTTCACTTTTGATAGCACTGTATTCGTCGATGAGAGCAAATGGTGTAGCTGAAGCTGAAATTCTACTTGGATCAATTGTCATCATGAAGATTACACCCACAATATCTTTATTCTTGTGCATGGCACGTTGAACAAATTCCATGGCTACCTGTTCTTTTGTACTGGTCGACAAGAAATTATTAAACGAGAGAAGTCCACCTTTCGAGTCGACTAAATGTTTAAAATCCCGTTGTGAAAGTCCCTGACCTCGATAAACGATGAACTTTGTCATAGAGGCACCCGATTGTTCTCGATGAAGTTTCTCTAATTGTCGATGGAGCGAGCGGATGAAGAAACCCATTTTTGTCATGGCCTCCATGTCAAGTGACCGTAGGGCACAATTGAGCATGCCGTAGAGGAAAATTTGCCGAGTATACCACCAGACTGGTGATTTATCGTGGTATCTACCCTGAAAGTCCTTTAATTGTGATTCAGGAACACCTTTGTTACTGCAATAGGCGACAAGGTCACTCATCGACTTAGCGTCGTCTTCCTCGATTTCCAATAAAATTTCTTTGAATAATGTCGAATACATAAAAGACGGCTCCAATTGGTCGAGATTGCGCTCGGCAGATGCTGCTGTTGCTAGCACCATCTCTTGTGGAACGAAACTCATCGGCATTGCGTCGTGATCGCATTGACGAGCGACTTTTTGTAATGAATCGCAAATTTGTGCAATTTCTGTAAAGATACCTTGAATTTTTGGCAAGTTTGTTGTCCATTCTTTGTGTTGTGTTTCATTCTCAGAAAAGATGTAAATGCAGTCAAGATGCGCAATGTCATGTATCAGAGGTATCATTGGTTGGCTCGTAGTACTTGTTACAACGAGGAACACCTTTCTGTCATCGGCTTCAGTGAGAAAGTCAACGCATTCATCCGATTGGATGAAAGTATGGACGTCATTAATGACACTGCGTAATTGCGCAAGCGCATTTTGACAATTCTTATTGGCTACATCAATGTTGCCGTCTATCCAGATCAACGAATAATCTTGAACTCGGTGTTGTTTTGCTTCAATGGTATTTGAAGATGTTCTTGAAGTTGTAATGGCATCGATTTGTGACGTAGAAACTGTTGTCTTGAACATGTGTCCACTCATACTGTATATGATATGCCGCTTGAGTGATAATCTAGAATTGTGAGTAATCTGCAATGGGCTGAACAGAAATCACGTTGTTCATTTATACAGCTGCTGTATTCTGCTTTTTTCTAGACTTAAGATTTCAAATGTAAGTGTTTTTATTCGTTGACACTCAGTAAACTCTACCTAGCTTAAGTTGAGAATATAACTGTGAACAATAAACAAAGTAGAAAAAGCCCTGTAACATCATTCATGGGATTATTAGTCGTTCCAAGTTTTCTTTAGTGATTATCTCCACAATCACTTGAGTGTCATCGCCTTGGATGGTGTGTGGCAGTCGGTGTTGGTGTACATGAAAAGAAAATACACGCTCACATCCATGCCCACCCTCAATATGGGGTGTGGGTATGTGGGTGTGGGTGTGGGTGTGTGCTGTGGGTGCTGGTGTGGGTGTGTGGATGTGGGGTTTGGGTGTGGGTGCGAAGTGTGGGTATGGATGTGGTTGTGGGTGCGTGTGGGGTGGAGTGTGGGTGCACTGTAAAACAAATAGATACTTTCCTGGGCCCTTCAAAAAGGTCTCGTAGGTGTCCAAAAGCTTCCAAATGCGTTCAAACGCTCAAAAAAACGATTCCAAAAATCTACAAAACCTTAAAAGGACCTGACTGCGGATACAAGGTCGGAACCATCTCCTACGAAACCTTAAAAGGATCTGACCGCGGATACACGGGCGGAACCATCTTCTACGATCTCGTAGGAGACGATTCCGCCCGTGTATCCGCGGTCAGACCCTTTTAAGTTTTGGTAGATTTTTAGAATCGTGTTTTGAACGTTTGAACGCATTTGGAAGCTTTTGGACAGCTACGAAACCTTTTGGGAGGGTTCAGGAAAGTACCTATTTTTTTACAGTGTGGGTGTAGGTG